AACAACTCGCCAAAAAATCGCTGTTTTGAGCCAACATTAGGGCGCACCCCATCTTCCCTTCCCCCCACGGAAAGGTAGGGGTTGGGGGGCTCATGGAAAGGCAAGCTCTCACCGGGTGTTCTAATGCCCGCCCAGAAACAATGGCAACTCTCAGTGGCAGAGCCAGCCCTGATTAATTAGATGTCCGCCACTAATTGTTCTCGTGGCTTTCTTATTTCTTTGGGTTACCGCCCATCCCTTGGCGGTTATTCTCTTTAAGTTTTCTTCTTATTTGCGTGGGTTGCGCAACTTACATTGCGCCGATGTGCTAACAAAGTGAAGAAGTTTGCTTCATCAAGGAAAAGAGATCATCTATAAAGTGAAAAATGTATACTTATATCAGAGATTTTTATAGTTTCTTTTTGCGAAGTTTCTTATATCTACATGTTTTTGGGTAAAAAAAGGGGTAAAAATTTTGTCCTCTTTTAACTGTTGCTAAACAGATAAATAGATAAAAAATAACCCATCCAATATTTAATTTCGCCCGACACACACCGGGTCTAACATATTTTTCTTACAATGAGAAATTATGAACTTGACATTTTTAATTTAGTTAAAATTTATTAATCTATTTCGTGAAACTGTATTAATTATTATAAATCTACAACTATTTTTTTTTTTTATTTTGAGTTTAAAGTAGCATAACAGCTTCCGATTTTTACTCCGTGAAGTCAGAATTCTAATTTTACGTAATTTTCTAATTTCTTATTAATTAACAGTAATTTTCATTTGTAAGTTTCCGGAGTTTGAAAAAACTCGTTCAAAGTTTTTAAATAATGGATATTAGATTGAATAAAAAACAAAAATAAATAAAATAAAATGAATAGTGAAATTTTTCTCTAAAAATCACTCGAATAATTCTTACTATTCAAAATTGTTTTAGGCAATGAAAAAAATTTGATAGCCTGAGGAAATGAGGAGTGTTTCTGCTAAGCACTATTCAACTTCTGTTTCCTCCGGCAATCAAACAAGTTTCATAAATGATTCGATAGATTTCTTTTGCTTTTTTATTATTTTTTTCGCACCTAAATATTAATTTCCTTTTATATGTTCAATATGGAGCAAAAAAATTGAGACTTACAAAAAAGTCTTTATTTAAGTAAATAAAACTAGAAATAAAAATTAAAATGCATTTCAAGATGCATTTATTAAAATGTACTTTCTTAATACAACATTATACTGATAAATCAGTAGTAAGTTCTTTCTCCTTTAGTTTTTTTTTAACCAATCGAAGCAGTCTTGGCGCAAATACAACGACAGACATAAGAGTGTCGAAAGTTATTTTGACCTATATTTTTACCAAGTCTTCATCTGATTCTTTAACTATTTTCAAGATTATTTTTCACTATTCTCTACGAATTTTCCTAAGGATAAACGGATTTTCCAATTTGAGACCAGGGAATGAGGAAGGCCACTTCAAAATATTTATTTCATTACAGTTAAGCTATTTTGTAGTTTGTCTTGAAGTGTAAAGACTTGTGTAAGAAAGAAAGTAAGACAAAAAGCCGTCAGGGTAAAGTGTTTCCATAGTGAAAACCAAGGCAGTAGCCAGGATATATAATTTTTTTTTTTTTTTGGNGGGGGGGGGGGTATGGTAAGAAGCAATGACGGTTTCAGACATGCAAAGTAGGGGAAAAACATTGTAACAAATATTGTTTATTCTGTTGTTTGAAAAAGTTAAACTCGTAATTAAAAAATATTCATGATAATTATTTTTCAATTTATATTACATAATAATTTTAATCAATTTGTAAACAAAGTTTACAAAGACATGCGACGGGGATTTGAAGGAAATTTTTCGATTACTTTTTTAGGACAAACCGGAATATCCCGAAATATGCTTAATAAAGTTAATAAAAGTAGTTAATAAAAGGTTTAATTCGACAGTTTTTGTTTTTCTTTTCACTGAGAGGCTCAAAGAAAGACTAAAAAGTTTGAATCCCAGAATTTCGGGGGGGGGGATTTGTCCCGACGGCCCCCCCCCCCTGGCTACGGGCCTGGTGGAAAGGAACTTTCGTTAATTGTTCAGTACTCCAATGATCATTTTTTCGCATTAAAAAATAATATTTTACTCTTATTATTTTATAGGAAAATGATGATAGGTCTTTAAGTTCCTGGTCTTCCTTCAACCTCTTCGTAACTCTTTCGGCGTGTTTTTCATACGAAAAATTGTAGCTCTGCTCAGGGCCTAATAAAGAAATGTTAGGGCCCATAAAAGTCAGGAACTTTAAACCAGGTCGGAACTTTCATCCAAATTTGATTGTCGTTTATTGGTGAAGTGCTTTTCAATTATTTTTAACATGAGTAAATTACGATAGATTAGTAACTTTGAGCTGATACCTATTACAATTTTCTTTAATTCATTATTCCATTGGACAATTCTAAGGGAAAGACCCAAAAAGAAATCTCTTGAAATATTAGGGAGACCCTAGAGCTAGGTCACTCAGGCCCATATATGGCAGTACTTTTACTTTCGTTACTTGCACCGCCGGTACAAGTAAAAAGTACGTACTTTTACTTGTACTTCGTTACTTTTTAAATTTAGTACTTTTACTTGTACTTTCGTTACTTTTTTAGGGAAAAAGTACAAGT